TTCACTGCCAGATAACTTTTAGGAAGAAACCTAATTTTTATAATCCCTTATCTCTAAGTGCACACTGTACTTTTTCTGACACCGACTCTTGTCAAACCTGGGTTCTGAACTAAATCAGTAAAGAATGGTCCATCACAGCAATCTATGCTGCTATAAAGCATGAACAAGTTACCTTCAATTCCTCTGCAACACAGTTTCCTTATGCAAAAGTTGCAAATAACAATCAGTATTTCAGGATGGGAAGATGAGATGATGAGTTATTATTTGTGTTTTCTGATCCACGACTAAAAATACGATCAGCTGTTAAAAAAAAAAATCCACCAAATAGAACATACTCACACAGGCTAAATTGATTTATATGGTTAGAACAGTGCTCAGTCCTTCTGTAATGGCTTTATTCTCCTTGCATTTGTGCAAAATGCAGGTTCCAGAGCTACATACAGGTTCCTGTATCTCCTAAAGACTGCTCAAGATCTCACACATGATGAAGACACACTAAGCAGGGAGGATGCAAGCAAGAACATTGCTCAATTATGTGCTCAACAACAGTGTCAGTGTCACCCAGCAGTAAAAGGGAGGAAAAAAGAGATTCTTTGAGGGATTTGCCATGGAAAGAACCTGCCTGTCGACTTAGTGTCAGCTGACAGTCAGAAAAAATCCAAATCACCTCACCTTTTTTTCCCACAGCTTAGTTTCCATGACCTTTCTTAAAAGTGGGCCAAGCTCACAAGCTTGCTTCCTTTTCTCTGAGGGTTTTGGGTCTTTTCCCTATGTTTGTGGATCTTTGCATTTTTAATTCCTTAACTGCTTTCTCCAAAACAGAAGGACCTGCAAATTAAACTCGCAAAGTGGCCAGACAAGCATAGTGTAACTGAAGGGGACGTGTACCAGGACATGCAACTAAACATGAATTTGGCACAAACTGAAACACAACATTTATGAGAAAATCATTGATTAGTCAGCTGCAATGGTCAGAAGTGGAAAAATTTCTGGGTAAGGTTAAAATTAAATAGCAAATAACTGTGAAGTTGCAGGTTTAACTAATACAGCAGAGAACACAATGTAAGTTAATGTGGAAATAGCATGAAAGTTACATTCCATGTGGAAGTTACTGACAAGGGCACAGGCACAGGGGGTAGGCAGGAATGCTGACAAAGTCCAATGGCCACTGGAGATCTGTTCCCCGATCCACAGCTCAGGCAGAGCTCACCACCTGTGTTAGCAGTGTTGCAGAGTGCAGAGGATGAAAATAATCACCTGCCTCATGGACAAGTTCAACACACAATAAACTTCACAGTGTTTTTCCACGGGTTCATAAACAGTATGGCTGAACACAGGGAGCTCAAGAACCACATGGACAATCCATTCAGATGTAGACTCTGTAGTATCATTTCCCAGAACACAACAGCATTTGACCATTTGACATATTTATCCTTTTTTTTTTCACCTTAAGTGGCCCAAAAATCCAGGCTCAGTTCTACAGGTAATGCATATTTATTTGGAGCCACTTCTGAGGCTGAAAAGCAGAGGTGCAGCAGCTAACACAGCAGGCTGGGAAAATGAATTCCTGGTTCAGGAACCCAGATAAGTTATGTATGGTACTGTGGGAGATTAAATATTCAGGAATACTGTCATCTTTGTTCCATCTTCCAAATGTTAGTATCTCTAATTTTTGTAATGTATTTTGAGGGCTTTCATTTTTATGTGGATTGGAAAAGACCTTAATTGGTTTTGTTATTTTACAACAGTAAAGACCCCTATACCAAGAGGGTCCTTATCATTTATGAGGAGACACAAAACTTCAGTTTCACAGACAAACTTATCTCACATACACAGTTAAAGCCATCCTGAATAGGAAGAATAACATTTGGCACCTTCCTTAAAGAAATCCTCAGTAACAGTGTAAGGGATGGGAGCTGCCAGATGTGCTGCTCGCTGTCCCTCTGCAGCCTCCGGGTACTTTACACCTCCCAGACAGTCAAGCAGCACCTGCAGGTCAACCTGCAAGCTACCAGTCTCGTGCTGCAGTCTCAGTTCCAGACCTGTGTCTTCATGTACTACTTTTTCATGCTAATTCACGCAGGCGGTCGTTTCTTGTAAGGGGAGCTCCTCTGCACCGCCGGTTTGCTCTGCTCTTCGCCACCGCCACCTTTGCCCCTGCGCGGGAGGATGGAGCAGAGCGCGGGAGGATGGAGCAGGGTGCAGAGGATGGAGCAGGGTGCGGGAGGATGGAGCAGGGTGCAGAGGAAGGAGCAGGGTGCGGAACGATGGAGTAGGGTGCAGAGGATGGAGTAGGGTGCAGAGGATGGAGTAGGGTGCAGAGGATGGAGCAGGGTGCAGAGGATGGAGCAGGGTGCGGGAGAATGGAGCAGGGTGCAGAGGATGGAGCAGGGTGCGGGATGATGGAGCAGGGTGCAGAGGATGGAGCAGGGTGCGGGAGGATGGAGCAGGGTGCGGGAGGATGGAGCAGGGTGCAGACTGCCCCACCATCAGCCTCCTCCTCTGCCCCGCCGGGGCTCGGCCCCGCAGCGCCAGCCGGCTCAGCCGGCCTCTGGCCCTCACATCTTCCACCCCACAGCGGGTCAGTCCCGCTCAGGCAGGCCTGGAGGCAGCCGAGGGGTTCTTCCCTCTCTACCTGCCTGAAGGAGCTTTCCTCACGACCACTTCCTCCCTGGGAAGACTCTCCTCCTCCCCCAAGGGAAGGGGCTTTGCCCTTCGTCACAGCTCCCCGGGCAGGGGCCTCTGCCGCGTTCCCTTCAGCACCTCAGTGCCCTCGGCCAGAGGTGTTCCCTCCCGTCTCCCCTAGGAGAAAGGCTCTGTCTCCGCACTCCGCTGAGAGCCAGGCCCCCTCTACCGCCAGAAGCCCCTGGAGAAGGGGGGCTCCCCCTCTCCCCCCGCCCAGGCGACTGCGGCTGGCACTGACCCGTCTCTGCCGTCCTGCTCCTCTCCGCCATATTTGTTGTCATCCCGCCACCCCCCCAACGCCGCCCGGCCGTCGCCATGGCAACGCGCGTCACCGCCATGGGGGAGCCCCGCGCGCCCCCAACATGGCGGCGGGGCTGACGGTCCTCCCCAGGGACAGCCTGCCCGGGGAGAGCCTTCCCTGCGAGCGGCTTCCCGGGCTCATCCTGCCCGGAGAGAGCGTTTCTCGGGAGCGCCTGCCCGAGGACAGCCCGCGCGGGAAGCGGCGCCCGCTCCTATCCTCGCGCAGCCCGGCGGCCGCCGCGGTGGTGGCGGGCGGGGCGTGAGGGAAGCACCGCCGGCCACCCGCCCCTCACGCAGCACGGCTCCCTCCGCCCGGCCGCGCCCGCCCCGCCCCGCCTCCCGCGGCTGCTGTTTACCGGCGCTGCTCGGATGGGGAAAGCAAGGCTCGTTTTCCGCTCCCTGGTGGCTGCCCGCCACCTCGGCAATTGCCGTCACTGCGCCCCGGGGGACGGGGTGTGCCGGAGCTCCTCCCGGGGCTCGTGCCTGCCCGTGGGAGTCGGTGTGGGCCTGAGGTGCTCACGGGCCACTGAGGAGGAGAGGCTCGTTATCACAGAGTATCGGTTAGGTTGGAAAAGACCTCTGAGTACATGGAGTCCAATCTAAGACCAAACACCACCATGTCAACTTGGTAGATCAGGACGTCAAGTGCCACGTCCAGTCTTTCCTTTAACACCTTCAGGAATGGCGACTCCATCGCCTCCCCGTGCGGTCCATTCCCACGTCTAATCACCCTTTCTGTGAAGAAATTCTCCCTATTGTCCGATGTCCTGGTGTTCTGGAGGTGCACGTCCCGCTCCGCACAGCTCAGGGTGTCCTCGCCCTAGGGGAAGGGAGCACATCTCTCCTGCTCCAGTTCCAGCCCCAGGCACTGAGGTGCAGCTCGGTCAGACATGGCCAATTCATGTGTGCGTGACTGCCCCACCCTGCCCCAAGACTCAGCAGGTGAGTCTGGTCATGTGGCAGTTATGTCAACTTTTTTTTTTTTTTTTTTTTTTTTAAATTTCTTAAGGCAGCCCAGTGGGGAGCTTCATTATGTGTGTGAGTGTTGCCCGTCTGTCTCCTTGCCCCAGCCCCAGCAGGTGAGCCTGACCATATGGCAAATGCAGTGCTGGGGACGGGAGGGCTTCTGTGTGCGCGTGTTCGCGGGCCCGCTGGGTGACACTCACCATGTGGCAAACACGGCGATGAAGGCTCTGGTGCACAGGGGCTAATTATGTGTGCCGGGGAGACCCGGCAGGCTGGGTGTGGTCATGCGTGTCTCACTAATGCCGAGGCGCAAGCTCCATTGTGCATCCTCTCCGCAGACAGCTCCAGCCTCCAGGAAGCAAGGCTGACCGCGGGACGAGCGCAGTGTTACAAGCACAAGCATCACGACTCATATTTATGTGCGTACACAGGCAGACGTGGGGCTGAATACACCCCAAACCAGGGGGCTGTTAAAACTCTGAAACAGGGAGTGCACGAGCAATGCTAAGCAATGGAAAATAGGCAGGACTTTGTTTGTGGTTGGGCACACACTCAGGTGTTTGCTTCCTTAGATCTAGTAAATTAATGCAACCACTTCCTAGTGACCAGTGACTAGTCAGAGAAACAATCCAAGATAAAAAATTAAGGCATGTAAAATTTTATCTTTCTCCAAGTTCTGTTATTTAAACATCACTTTACCTCTTTGTTTTCCTACCTAGTATGTGCCTTTTCTACTCCGATTCAGCTCCTCGTAACAACACTCATGTGGATGATACCTACAGGTTCTACATGCTTGGATTTTTCTGTGGGGTCAGTTTCTCCCTGGAAAAGAGAAAGCTTGCTCCATTTTGCAGCCTTGTTCATTCTTCTTTCAATTCATAGTTCTCAGGTTATTTTTGCAGCATTTATTTTTGTGGTTTCACCTCCTTTATTGTTTCCTTTCTTTTTCACTGGCACTTAGGCCTCTTTTCTTTATCTATTTCTCTTTGCTCTCAATATCTTACTTTAGTATTATATAAGCTAATTGAACATTACTTTAGCCACATTCCTGTTCCATGATGAAATACCTGTCTGAAGTGGTGTACCAAGGGGGCTTTATGATGGGGTTGGAAGATACACCCTTGCACAGAAGAACGTTGTAGGCCATCTAGATCCAAGCTCTGCAAAAATATTTTCTAGACTTTCCCCTCTGCAGTCTTTATAAACTATAGGTGGTCACTCGCATACTAAAAAGGTGGATTTGTCTCGCTGCTGACAGTGAGCTACACTAAGAGCACACACCCCCACAGACACATTCTTTCCCTTACAGCCTTGCTCCAGGCCAGCAAATCACCCAGGCCTTCTGCTCTTCCTTATTTATTGCTGGGCAAATGATCCTGAGACTTCCCTCTTCAGAATATGCCACATATACTCTGATCTTTCTCTTCTTTCTTTTATGTTCCCTGATAGCCATGTCCCATCCCAACTCTCCTTCAAATAATTTCTCATAATACTGAGCCTTCATTCCTTTATTTCATGTTTCTTTTTTTTTTTCTTTTTTAGATCTTAAACAGTTCTGTCCAAGTTTGCAGCTCTAGTCTGGTTTTGTACCATGTCCCTACATCCCCTTATTCCCTTTGTTCTACTTGCTATTCCAGCTTTAGTGTCCCCTCATCCATATTTCATTCCTATCTATTAATACCCATATAGCATTTTTCATCTGTAAATTTCTAAGAATTAAGTGCCTGTGGAGAGACCTTCCATATCTGTTCTTCGGGTGACCTCTTTATTCACATTTCTCTAAGACTCGCTTCTATGGTGACCACAAATACTAATCCAAAGGCCTTTTGCATCTAATTGCCAGCCGATTAACTCAACTCAAATACCTGCAAGAAGTTCTATTGAAATCAGAGACATTTGGGGGAAAGCACTTTTTCCAGTCAAATTATCTCTTCTGAGTTAACACACTTGAAAAACCTAGAAATGCCACACTCATTTTTTTAGTCTGAGTTTAATGCTATGTTATAGTCACCTCACCAAGCTGAAGTGGTGTTAAATATAGATGATATGCAGTCTTTCCAAAAACAGTAAGATAATTTGACAAGAGAGAACTGGAAAGTTCATATAGAAGGTTCTTTTGGAAATAGATAACTGAATGGTGTAACTCGAATCAGGGCTGAGGAATGAGGGAAATGGTTTCAGGAGAAGCAGTTGCTTATTTTTATTTCTGCATTTTTAGAGCACCTGAGAACAGGTTGAGGTTGTCATTAGTCCAAAGAGGCCTTTGGCCCCAACAATCTGATTTTGGACATTACAGAACAACAAATAACAGAACACTGTTGCAAGCCACTGGTGCCCCAGTGAGGACTGGTTGTCCTCACATTTGCTGCTTCAGCCCTATTCCTTGTTCCAGCGTGTCCCCCAGCTCCCTTCTGCATCTTGGCAAGCAAAAGCTGCCTCACTTCTGTGGCTCTTTGCAGCTTATTCCCACCCCATCATCTTTTAATAGCCTATGGAGAAACCAACGGCTTCCCCCCACACATTTCATTCAGTAATAACTTCTCTACTTGTTACATTTTCAAACCAGCACCTTCATGCTTTCCCTCGCTGCTGCTTCGCACTCCCACTCACTTAATTTTCCTCCTTCAAATCCCTCCCTAAAAAATCTCCTCTGCTGTGATGTCTACTGAAGGAATGATAATGAATCGTCAGCTGTGTGCCAAGCTGAGTGTCTGTCATGGGGACTGGTCTGATGTGTTGGGCAGCCACTGCTTGTGTGGGACTGGCAGTGCCTTGAAGCAGCTCCTCTTTTCACTCTGCTCATTATGGGTCCTGGGATGGGCCCGTAAAACTCGTTATATAAGCAAACAAAAATAAATTGAGGCAATCGAAATAGAAATGGAAATGCTGTCCAAAACCAGGAAGATTAGACAATATTTCAGTTATGATTCATCAGCTTAGGTAAATTTACATAAAATTAATGTGACTGACAGCTCCCTTCATTACAAATATTGAGAAGTAAATTATTTTTCTAAATACAGATTTGTGCCATTTCTCTACTTATTTATAATCTATAAGGACTTGAGGAGTATGCTTTACTTTTTTTATCTGTGCTTGTATTTGAAACATTAGATATTCCATTGTTTGTTTATCTTTCGTTTGCAGCCTGCAAGGCTGTGATGATTAAAGAACACGAGAAAGAATAATAATACAAGAGCAAAGACTTGAAAGGAGAAAAGATTCCTGATCACTTTTTTTTTAACATGAGGGTAATTCAAATATGTTGAAGATCGAATGATTTGTGTTATACATTCAATACTTCTGATTCAGCTAGAGGTGGCTGCTGTCAATATGTCTGTTGAAACCCCAAAGATCTTCCAAGAAAATCAATAAAAATCCAATTTTACAATCTTGATATTTTCAGTGTTTAAAAAATTGGCAAAAAAATGCCCTTTCTTATACATTACAAAAAAGCCAGTAAGGTGCATTATTGATTTTTCACAAATCGTTTGTAAGTGACTGTTAAGGCTGGATGAGGAGAAGATGGAGCATTAGCACGAGTTTTGCATGCATTTCACACACCACATGCATGGTGCATGTTGTGGGTCTTCAATGTGGGGATTGAAGAATCCAGGTGTAACTGTGTAGAAATCACTTAATTACTCTTTTTTTGTATCCCTTTCCCCGTGTAGAATAAAGTAGTGCAAGCATTCGAGTATATTTCAGCTGTGACTGCTGTCAGAGAAAAGGCCATAAACATGGTTCTGATACAAACAGGGCATCGATGGTGGCTGTGCAAGCAGAGCAAGCACAATCCAAATTTTAAAAGAAGGGGAAAAAAGAAAATCAAAAGTCTGGTTGGAGTTTTTAGCCAGGTTGTTATGGTCTGATGGATTCAGAGAGAAAGTTAGATCTGATAAAGAAAAAGCCAAAATGAAAAACCAAAGCCCAGACTGAGGTAGCAAAATGGAAGTGAATTTTCAACTATGCACACATAGTGGAGGAATCCTATAATCTTATTATTGTAACCTTGATCCATTCGTTCTCCCAGCATTTATTGCTCTCATTAGTTATGTGATATCTAAAAGCACAC